AACTTTTATAGAGGTTGTTTTCATTTATCTGTTATCAATTTTGATTTGTGGCGCTTTTTTACCAGAATTTTTGAAATGCAGGGGTCTGTCTAAAATGCTTGCACACAAGTTAAAGTAAGTAACGCCGTTTGATTCCTGAAGGTTTACCGCATCTTTTAAGTGTTTACTCAACAACCTGCTTAGTGGCATGTGCCTACTGCGAAAAAAATTCTAAGTTGCTATACTAAATTAACTAAATTTTGAAAATTTTTTCTGTTTTGAGCAATAAAAATCGAGTAGGCCTTATGCAAAAAAAATTAGGACAGAAAATAAACAAAAGTATGGAATTGGAAATTCTTTGCTGCAAGAAAATGTACAATATTGAGCAAAATTGAGTTACAGAGAAAATTAGTCAAAATTTAACATATCGCAAAGCAGTATTAACACAATTTAGTAGAAAAATGTAAAAACATTAACAAACAAAAAAAACAAAACATTAAAGCTATTCTACAATTTTCTTTTTATAACAGATGCTCAAAAATATTACCATTTTCTTCAATACAAGTATGCAGTCTTCGTCTAAAAGATAGTCTAACACGACTTAGCATATCTGCATTTATTAAATGGAATGTATTGCTTATTCTTGTTTCATATCCTCCGCAGTTGTTGGTCTCAATTTATATACATTTTTATACAATTTTTTAAATGCATCAGTTTGCGGCAATTTTACATTTGGATATTTTTATTTGTAGAGTCTTTGAGCCAATAAAATATTACGATCCGCTTCATACCATGTTAATTTTGGGACTTATAATCTTCACAATAAAATTGATAGATTGTAACAATGACAGAAGCCCACTCGATTTTTATTGTCCAAAACAGAAAAGTTTATCGATATTTAGTTAATTTAGGATAGCAACTTAGAATTTTACACTAGACTATACAAACCCTATATTGATGGAAAGCTTGTCAAAAGATCTTTTGATTGGTACAATAATAAATAGAGGGTGCCATTTGAAAAAAATGAGTTTTTGACATTTTTAATTTGTCATGTTTAAAAAATCGTAGTAGGCACATGCCACTGAGCAGGTTGTTGAATAAACACTTAAAAGATGCGGCAAACATTCAGGAATCAAATGGCGTTACTTACTTTAACTTGTGTGCAAGCATTTAGAAAATACGAATTTTTAGCCAGACCCCTGCATTTCAAAAATTCTGGTGAATAAACGCCACAAATCAAAATTGATAACAGATAAATGAAAACAACCTCTATAAAAGTTATTTGTAATTTAGCGTAGAATCCAAAAATAAAATCAAACTGAGTAGATTCCATTTAAAAAAACATAACTTTAGTGTTTTTTTTAATATTGGGACACCCTGTATATAAACCGTAATATTTTTAAAATGTACATCAAAAACGCAGCTATAATCTAAAAAAAAGAAAAAGTCAATATCTCTTAAAATAAACAAGTTATCGAGCTTTTTCGGACCGTTGGGACAGCCTGTATGCGCGAAAATTGGCAATATCGAGGTCAAAAACCTGTGCAATTTGTTTTCGCACTGTGTGTTAGAAATCTAACGCACAATTCACACTCGAATGTTTTGTATTTTTTCATTAAACCTATTTTTTTTGTTTCCATTATAAAAAATAAATCATTATTCAACGTATTTTTGTATCCATTATAAAAAACACATAAATCGTTATGAAAAAAAATATGTTCGTAAGAAAAAAATTATTTATGGTCGTAGGAAAAATAGTGTACAAAACTTGCAGGAAAGTGTCTAACGCACTCGCGGTATTGCCTGCACTCGGCTGACGCCTCGTGCGCAACTTTCCCGCTTGTGCGTTATTTATCACTTTCCGTGCTCGTTATGTAATATACTATAAACGCACAAGAGCGGTTATGAGGAAGGACTGTGCTAGGATGCCGCAATCTGCGTCAAATTCCACCTGGAGCGGGAGAAAAACCCGGAAAAGTTCAACAGTCGGATGAAAAATAAGCTGTGGTACTTCGAGTATGCGACGTCGGAGCAGTTCGCGGCCTCCTGCAAGAACCTACACGAGGATATCGAGATTACGGTAATTTTACAAAAAAACACAAAAAAGTGACAAAAACAAAAAAAAACTCCAAACATTGGATATACCAGGTTTCAACCACTTTTGTCCAAAAATAGTGTATACCAGGTTTCAACGACTTTTGTCCAGTTGTTATAAAAAGTTGAAGTTGAAGTAGTTAACACTGCTTTTCATCCCATAGTTTTGGGAAAATAATGAAACTCAAAAAAAAAACAAAAGACATCTAATGAATACCCAAAAAAATTAATAAAACAAACTAAAACAAGAGATTTTTTTGTATTTTTTTAATTAATCTTTCCTACTCTTTTTTTTCTTATTTTTTCTTTATTTTATTTATTGGATTATTTCACAAACAGTGTCTTATAATTTCGTTATACCAATAATATTAAAAAAAAAACAAGTTAAATTTTCCTGAAAATGCTATATTTTTTTAACATTTATTTTTAGTTCAGGATTAAATATTTAAAATACTTTAAAATAATAAATAAATGGGTTTAAAACAAATGAAAATAAAACAAAATTTAAAAAATAGACAAAATTTTCGTTAGAAATGTATCAAATCGAGGCAGAAATACAAATTTATAACGAAGATCTTGCAATTTCATGGTTTAATTAAAAAAACTCTTGAAAAATACGATCTGAAAATAATCAAAATTAACGAAAAAAAACTAATTTTGCAATTTTTAGTTTTGATCCCGCGAAATCTAATAAACCGTTTAGATTTTCATAAAAAAATAAGCAAAAAACTACACAAAACAGCCAAAAAGTCGGTTTTTCTTTTAAAAATGAACTAGGAACTGTTTTAAGTGAAGAAAATTTCTCAAAAAAATGCGATCTAAGAAGAATAAAGATGATACAATGATACAAGAGAAGTGACCAAAAACAAAAAATTACTTTTTGGTCTATCTACACAAAAATTAGATATACCAGGTTTCAACCACTTTTGTCCAAAAATAGTGTATGCCAGGTTTCAACGACTTTCGTCCAGTTATCATAGAAAGTTGAAGTTGAAGTGGTTTTTAACATTACGTTTCATTCCAAGCGCAATTTTGCTTCATTTTTGTTGTAACTTCAACTATAGTTTTGGGAAAATAATGAAACTCAAAAAAAAAACAAAGGTAATCTACTGAATACATAATACAAATGAATTAAACAAACTGAAACAACATATTTTTTTGTATTTTTTTAATTCTCTTTCCTATTTTTTTTCTTTATTATCTCTTAATTTCATTATACCAATATTTAAAAAAAAACTCAAAATAATTATCTTCAATTATTTTTCATTGTTTTACCACCTATTTTTAGAATTTTGCTGCAAAAGCTATATTTATTTAACATTTATTTTAGTTCAGGACTAAATCTCCTTAAAATAATAAGTAAATGGATTTGAAACAAATGAAACTAACACAAAATTTAAAAAATAGACAAAATTTTCGTAAAAATGTACCAAATCGAAGCAGAAATACAAATTTATAATCAAGATCTTGCAATTTCATGGTTTAATTTAAAAAACTCTTGCAAAATACGATCTCAAAATAATCAAAAATAAACGAAAAAAATCTAATTTCGCAATTTTTAACTTTAATCCAGCGAAATCTATTAAAATCGTTTGGATTTTCAGAAAAAACAACCAAAAAACTACACAAAACAACCAAAAAGTCGGTTTTTCTTTCAAAAATGAACTAGAAATTCTTAAGTAAAGAAAATTTTAAAAAAAAATTCACTCTCAGAAGAATAAAGGATGATTTTTTGTATCTATTCAGCGAAATTTTTTAAAATCACTTAGATTTTCATTGAAAAATAACCAAAAAGTTACAGAAACCACCTGAGAAGAGAATATTTCAAGCTTGCCTTAATTCAAACAAAATTCTTAAAATAAGAAGTATTTTTTCTAATTATTTCGTCTTATTATACAATCTATTTTTAGAATTTTGATGCAGAAGCTGTTTGAATATTTATTTTCACTTTAGGACTAAATCTTTAAAATAATAAGAGATTCCTGTAGAACATTTATCAAAGAGTTGATTAGTTTTTGTTTCATGTTTCTGTGCCCACTTTGGACGTCACAAATCACTGTTAAAATTTTGTTAAATTTTGGGTTTTTGGCAACACTAATAAATTTCGAGATCAAACGGAAAATAATTTTTTGGTGGAAACAAATGATTCTGGAACAAAATTTACCACCCAATCGATTCGTGTTTGTTTCAATCCTCGACGACCAATAATAACACCGCAAACTAACATTTAAACTAACATCGTGCCAAAATCGAATTTTTCGATGACGATGTCATGAAATTTTAATTTTGTGTTAACATTGGACCAGAAAATTTGGCAAAACGAACCGTTTCTGATAGAAAATTTCTTCAAAAAATCGACTGGTGGTTGTTTCAAGTTTCTACGATTCGTAAATCACATTTAAACTTAATCAAATAAAAATATAAAACAGAAAAAAAACACTCAATTTTGAAATAATTTTTTAGTGCGATGACGTATCTTTGGACCTGGCCAACGGCTCCCCCTTGCAAGGCATCGCCCTCCTCAACATCCCCTACACCCACGGCGGCTCCAACCTCTGGGGCGAGCATTTATCCGGTTCGAGAAGAAAAAGTAAAAAGAAGAAACAGAAAGAAATGAGCACTTCTAGTTTCAATTCAGTGGACTTGAAAGTCGCCGTTCAAGGTAGAAAATCTCTCGTGTGTTTGAATTTCCCCTCGATGATGTATTTTTAGACATCGGGGATGGATTGATCGAGGTCATAGGACTGGAAAATTGCCTCCATATGGGGCAAGTGAGGACCGGCTTGAGGGCCAGTGGACGCCGATTAGCGCAGTGTTCTTCCGTCGTTATCAAAACGAAGAAAACTTTCCCGATGCAAATCGACGGCGAGCCCTGGATGCAGCCCCCCACCACTGTATGTATGCCAACTTCAAACTGAGTTGGCAACGTCGAATGTTGCCAACTTAATTTCAAAATTAAAGTGGCAACAATTCAATTTTAAAATTGTGACAAAAATTTATGTTGCCACTTTATTTTTTCCAAATGAGTTGGCAACGTCAAATGTTGCCACTTTATTTTTTCAAATGAATTGGCAACCTCGAATGTTGCCAACTTAATTTCCAAAATTGAAGTGGCAACCCTATTGCCAACTCAATTTTAACGTGCTTGATGCGTGTTTTGTTGGTTTCAGATACGTATCACTCACAAAAACCAGGTGCCCATGCTAATGGCGCCGCCGCCCGAGAAGGGCAAAGGGTTCTTCCGTTTCTTCAGGAGGTAGAGCGGTGATATTATGAATTCCTCGTTTCTCTAGTCTGTTTTCTCGTTTCGGAATGACAATAATTAATTTTGTTCAATGTCAGTATTATTTTTGAATGGGATTACTGAAAAACTCTTCCAAAAAGGCGCTGTTTATTCTATGTTTCAATGTTTCAAGTTGGTGTTAAGTGTTTCGAGCATTAGTTTAATGCCAGCTGCTATACAATAAATTTTTACATAAAAAAATACTCGATTTAGCTGAGGTGAAAATATCTAGAAACATGATAGGGACCATTGCTTTAACAGAATCCCGCCAAATAAGTACCTATGCATTAAAAACGATTCCTGCACTCTCCTTATTTAGAGACACTTCGGCTAAAGTTTGCGTTTTAAAGGCTAGTGCTGCCAACTGTTGGTGCAACGGAAAATTTTCAATTTTAGTTCGATTTTAGCTACGACTCAAGTGACTTAAAGTTTCTCTAAATAAAGGATTCTAAATATTTGAATATAAATAAAATCCTTAACTAGATTAGACTTATACAAGAAACATATTTACAGTAAAAACTATAAGTAAATACGCTTGAAGCGTTTGTGTATAAACAATGTTTACAATTGTTGTATTTAATATTTATTAAACATTATTTTGTAATTTATTTATTTATATTCGATCATTGCTGTTAGAACTGTAAAAATTTAACATTGTCGTAGGTAGTCTTGATTTTTTTCCTATGATATTTACACGTCACGTGGTATTGAACACGTGACCACATTTTATATCAAAAATAGAACTGCCACTGTCAAAAATGTGGGAAACGTTTCAAGTTGCTGTTAAGCTTTAACTGTAATATAAACAACCCTGTATATTGTAGAAACTGACATTTCTTCTATGCCTTGTACAATTATAATGGCTTTAAACGTCCAATTATCCAGGTTTTATTCGTTTAGGCTGTCGACAGGGTGCAAAATATGTAGATAAACCTCCTGTGGCGGCTTATTCTACTGGAGCTCCAATGATCTGGTCACTCTAGTGGCCTGTGACTTTTAAACTGAGTTGGCAACACTGAATAATGTAGACGATACTAAACTTTGAAATAAAGTTGGCAACGTTAACTATCAAATTCAAATGTCACACTTTTATACTCAACTGTCATTCATCTAATCACCAATAATTCAGAGTTGCCAACGCAGGTTATTCGAAAACATGACAACTCTATCATGGTCTGTCTCTGCATTATTCAAGTTCTATCAAGTGTGCTTTGGTTTTTAAAAATGGCGCTTTTGACAGCAGAATACTCGATCAAAAATCAATTTTGGTCCAAGTGGCTTGTATTTGTGACAGAAGATATAAAAATTGCATATCCTCTCTCTCTATAATATTCAATGTTGCCAACTTAATTTCAAAGTCAAAGGCCACTTTGAGTTTTTTTACCGGAAATCTTACTTTCTCTTTTGTCATTTTCACAAAAACAAATCTAATATTTCAATGTGTTAGTCCAAAATTTTCCTATCCTAGAGTGTACAGATCAGGCCGAGCCCCTTTAATATTATTTTTTCACGTGTACAAAAAAAAACGCTAGCGTTTAGATATGAAATTCCTCGTGCTTTCGTCCATTTTGTATAAATTTTCCCTTAATCATCCCAAATTACTCATTTCATCGACAACGATCACACGGACATAATCAAAATTTCTGTGATAAAAATGAGTAATTTGGCCAAATAATAATTTTCCAAAGACTAACTGCATTTTTTCTATTTATTTTTTTACAAATTTATTTAACTCATAGTTAGAATGTAAGTCAAGTTACCTGTTTCCTTGTTTTCGTATGTTAAAAATTTCAAATAAATCTTGTGTCCACGATTGGCCCATTCAATTCTCCCGCCCAACTCAAACGTCAAATCAGCAAATAGTGTGAATAAACATACTTTATTGTACAAAAAAGACAGTGATGCTTAGAATTAGGGCCGCAGAATGACAGTTCGTAAGGAATCCTCTGGTCTGATTTCAAGAAACGCAATCGTGCCATCGTTGAAATCGAACGAAACGCCGCCATCTATGACCAGACTCGCCTTATAGCAATTCGACTTAATCTCCAGTTTTGTGATAAAATCCCGCGACTTGATTCCCTTGGGATAGGGCCAAACCCCGGCCGAGATCAAATCCCGGATCGTGTAGCACATCCGCGTGTCATCTGCAAAAAGCCGGTATTACAGATCCCTGTACCGAATCGGGGAATCACCAGGTCTGAAAACGAGGTTTTTGTTGTAACAATCGGCGATTTTCGCCGCTAAAACATCCCGTTCTTCGCCCGACTTCACTTCGACGAGTTTGAGCAACTCTGCGACGCTTTGCACCGGAAGTCGATTGATGCTCAAATGCCAGGAAGTGGATCCGGTTCCGGTGCAAACGCAAACTCCGGAACATTTGATGCCCGTCTGCTCCACGGAGCCGTTGAGTCTCATCTGCAAGTGGGAGACTCGCGACGAGATTGACTCTCCTACAAAAACCTGAGAGAGAGGTTAGGTTACCTGGATTCGGTTTTTCCCCCGGGGAAAAAACTATTCACCAGTCAAATTCTGCTCACACTGCGCTTTGTTGCAATAGTGTTTCCGACTAACTAGTTGGGGAGAAGGTAATATGTCGGAAGACCCTTATACAGAGTGCGCCAAAACTCGCGCCCCAGAGAAAATTTTCAAGTAAGGTAAGATACCAGGAATATGAAGAAAATGTTTAAAAAATTCTATCTGTCAAAAAATTTTGACATTTATTTTTTGACATTTGACATTTTTTTATATCTATTTAATGACACTGATGATCTTGTATATGTTTTTTTACAATTTGTTAGTAAAGAGACAAAAATTTGGCCAATAAAAACCACAAATAACATTGAACAAAGTTACAATTTAGGATACAGCTTCTTTGTTTCCTCTTCTAATAGCTTATAGCAAAAAAAAACTTGGAAAATTATTTTTCCAACAGAAATAAATAGTCAAAGTGCAAACTTTAAACCATCATTCATAATTTCGAAATTTTTATAGATAATTTTTTTTTTCTCTGGGGCGCGAGTTCTGGCGCACCCTGTATAGGAAGTTTGTCCGGACTCGAAGATACACGTTTCTTCAAAACGGTCTTTTTTCTGAAAATTCTTCAATGAGTATAGATTATTAAATGGTGATTATAATAATTTGCAAAATGACACTAAGCAAATTTTAGAGAAAAAAATGCATGCCCATGTATTTCATTACCTTAACAAAATTTTTGTGATTTACTTTTAATTTTATTAACAAATAGCTAGTTTCTTCCGTTTTTTATATTTATTTCTATTACTTCTAAACAAAGCAAAAAACCCAAAGGGTAAATTTAATGCCATAATAATAATAACTAATATTATACAGAATGTCCCCGGATTTTTTTATTTTTCGCTAACAAGCAAAAGAAAAACCAGTAATTCTGTAATTTTAAAAGTTCATTATTTTCACTCAGTGGAAAGAAAATTTAATTTTTCTCTTGATTTTAAGCTTGTAATAACTAATAACACTATAGTCTACAAACAATACGATGTTTAATATACCTTTAATCGAATTATTATTTTCATGTTAACTTACCTTTAATTAAACAAAAATAATTGTTAAATTTTTCTATCACGTCACACTTTTTTTGTTACAGACGATAATTTTTCTGCTTTCTGCACAAATGCCTCCGATTTAAAATTTATTTAAATTCAAATTGTTGCTGAATTATTGCAAAATTATTACTAAATGGGTCTTAAAAACATTTCACTCGCATTTGGACTTCTTTTCTAAAAATTTAGGAGCATGAGTGACAAGCAAGACGAACGTTTTCATCAAGATCTGAAAGATTTTCAAAGATCGACACGAAGATTTTTGGGATGAAGATATGTTAGTAGATTACTATTGTATTGTTATAAAGAAAACTGATCCAAATAGTATAATAAAACCAAGTAAAATAACTCACTTTTAATATGTTTTTTGTCGGTTTTTGTATTTTTGGTAATTACATATTTCTTAAACGTAACGTGGTGGACTTTTTTAAATAGTTTTTTTTTTGAACTGAGTGCATCAAAATCTATAACAAATTAACTTTCAGCTAAAGTATAAAAATCGTATAAACTAGTGTAATTTTTTCTCTGCGTTTTAAATCCCATCACAATTGGCGTTTTATTGTTTTGACAACGATGTCGCTTTGACAGATGAGTTAACACAAGATAAATAACAAAAATGTTTATAAAAAAAACATAATTTCAATAAATGGCAAGTCAAAAAAACAGCTTCTGAAAAAAACATTTTTAACAAAAACAAACTTTATTCAATTAATTAATTAATTGTCAAAGTGACATCGTTGTCAAAAAAATAAAATGGCCAATGTGATAGAATTTAAAAGCAAAGAAAGATTATTATTACAAGTCCAAAAGTAAAAAAAAATAACTTTTCTTTCCACTGAGTCAGAATAATGAAATTTTAATTACAGATTTGCTCGTTTCAGATAAAGCAAAAACAACCCTTGCTGTTACAGTGTTACTTTATCTACTTAAAAGAGTTTTTAAAGAAATAGTTTAACACCTGCTATTGAAAAAAAAGTATTTCCTTTGCTTTTTTGGCGTAAAATCAAAGGTAAAAATTTGTTTCCTTTTGACTGGCTATTATAAAAATTATTAGTAAGTTCAGAATTTTAATTATAAAGAAATTGGCAAAATTTACAGTTTATTAAAAAATTAAAAATTAAAGAAAGAACCTTAAAAGTCAAGGCAAGCTAAAAATGTTATTCCTTTGCAGTTTTGGCGTAAAATCAAAGGTAAAATTTTTTTCCTATTTAAACTTGATCACTATTTAGACCTATATAGTAATAATTTTGCAATAATTCAGCAACAATTTGAATTTAAATAAATTTTAAATCGGAGGCATTTGTGCAGAAAGCAGGAAAATTCTCGTCTGTAACAAAAAAAGTGTGACGTAATAGAAAAATTTAACAATTATTTTTGTTTAATTAAACATAAAAAAAATAATTCGATTAAAGGTATATTAAACATGTTATTGTTTGTAGACTATAGTGTTATTAGTTATTATAAGCTCAAAATCAAGAGAAAAATTAATTTTTTTCACTTACTGGTTTCAGGTGAAACAAAAAATGTTTTTCTTTTGCAGTGTTAGCGTAAAATAAGAAAATCCGGGGACAAACTGTATAATATTAGTTATTATTATTATTATGGCATTTAATTTAGCACTTTGGGTTTGTTGCTTTGTTTAGAAGTAATAAAAATAAATATAAAAAAGGAAAAAAACTAGCTATTTGTTAATAAAATTAAAAGTAAATCACAAAAATTTTGTTAAGGTAATGAAATACATAGGCATGCATTTTTTTCTCCAAAATTTGCTTAGTGTCATTTTGCAAATTATTATAATCACCATTTAATAATTTATACTCATTGAAGAAATTTTCAGAAAAAGACCGTTTTGAAGAAACGTGTATCTCCGAGTCCGGACCAACTTCCTAAATAAGGACATACAGGGTGTTCCGTTTTTATTGTTACAAATTTAAACAGGTGATAGGATATTCAATTCTAAGACAAAAGTTTCCTATAAACATGTATCGAAAAATGCTTGGTAAGGGAGCTACACCCCCTGGAAGGGGGCTAATATGTTTTTGCTAATATTTCAGAAACCATTTAAGATAAAGTTACAAAATTTGGTACAGATGATAACCTTTATACACCTAAACGAATTCAAACATCAAATGTCGAAGTTTTTAATCAGGGGCGTACGAAACTGGGGGAGTTTAAGGTAAAAAACACCCTATTTATTTTGGCTTTAGTTTCTCGGTACTTTCCGAAACAAAATCTTAAGTTCCATAGTTTATCACAGAAAAGTCTCTCTTGTGTCGATACGACTTATTGTTTTTGAATAAAATTAATTCAAAATTTATGTTACACACCAATACAATACATTCAAATAAATCAGAATTTACAGAATAATAAAAGCAAGAAATTCATACTTTTTAATCAACCTCAACTAATTAACATTACATTACAGTAACAATAATAACATTAATTAAATGAATTTGCCTAAATCTAAAGGAGTTGTTTAAAGTGACCACCATTTTGGTCAATGCATAACTAAAGAAACTAAAGCCAAAATAGATAGGGTATTTTTTTACCCTAAATCCCACCAGTTTCGGACGCCCCTGATTAAAAATTTCGACATTTGATGTTTGAATTCGTTTAGTTGTATAAAGGTTATCATCTGTACCAAATTTTGTAATTTTATCTGAAATATTAGCAAAAACATATTAGCCCCCTTTCAGGGGGTGTAGCTCCCTAACCAAACATTTTTCGATAGATGTTTATAGGAAACTTTTGTCTTAGAATTGAATATCCTATCACCTGTTTAAATTTGTAACAATAGAAACGGCACACCCTGTATAATGACATATTACCTGGTCCTCAAATAGTTAGTCGGAAACACTATTGCAACAAAGCGCAGTGTGAGCAGAAAGTTAGACTGGTGAATAGTTTTTTCCCCGGAGTACCTCGTTCAAGGCCAACACGGGGAGGATTTTCCCCTGGATTTTCCCGAAGTTGTCCTCGATCTCGTGGAGGCACTTGGGGACGATGTCGCCCTTCTGGCTGATGAGCTTCACCCGGATTCGACTCCGGAGCAGCCAGTCAAACTCCCCGCTGCGCAGCTTCTCCACAGCGCTGCGCACGTCCCCGGAGTATTTCTTGGGGAGGCAGAGGTGGCCCTCGGAGCGGTTGGGGTCGGAGTTGAGCCCGATGACGGGCTTGGTGCTGTCGCGGATGCGGCTGGAGGCCAGGAGGAAGGTGCCGTCGCCCCCCGTGGGCACGATGACGTCCGCCCAGTCCACCTTCTCCTGCGTGTAGTTAAATCTGCAATTTGACAGTAGTTGGGGGCTGGGACAGGAAGGGGGCGCACCTGTTGGCCACTTCCACGTCGATTCCCATTTTTCGAAATGTGTTCACGACGTTGCTTTCGAACTTTTTGTGCAACATGTGGCAATGTATCAGCCATTCGAAATCGGTGCCTCGACTTCGGAGTTCTTGCTCGAAATCGGCGTCGGTGCTCAAGTTTGATTGCTTTTTTTCGAACTCGTAACGAGACAATTTCGACAGAACTAAAACCTTATCAATTTTAATCGAATTCTTCGAGGGGGGTTCCGACGTTGTAGCCACATTTTTGATCCCTAAAAAGTGGGGTAATCAAAAAATCTTTTGGTTTTATTTTTTAGAATCGCAAAAAAAATTCCATCCTTGTCCATTAGTGATAATGATTTTTTTATATCTCTCACCAGTGGCGGCTCGTCCTCAAAAAAATTTTTTTTAATGTACAGGGTGTCCACAAAAAAACATTAAAAAATTGAGGAGGGGTGTTCCTTAGTTCAAGGTAGAAAAAAAATTCCTATAGACTTATGTCCGGAAATGTCTCCTAAAGAAGCTAGAGCGAAAAAAGGCTAGACCATATATGAAAAACTCACTATGTTACTTTTCGGAATTAAGTTGCGTCGTACAAAAACAACGAAAAGACGTTTTTTAACAAAAAAATTTTTTTTAATTTGCCTTAAATAGGTTGACCACAGTCCCGGCCCTCCCCTACTTGAGGTACCTACACACTTTTTTTAACTCTCTTAACCTGTATAGACATTCATTTTCGAAAAAAATGCAAAACAAAAACCGTAATCGCAATTCCGCACACTTAAGAACGCATTTTTTTAACATCTAAAGTAAGCTGTAAAATAAATATCCAAGGAGTTTAAAATTTTTCGTTTTTGCATAGACCAAACGTAAAGTACAAGTGTAAGAAATGTTTGAAAAGTAAGAATGCAACGACGTAAAAACATGAAAATATAAAATTTTATAAAATGTAAGAAACGTAAAACTGTAGAACAACAAAACGTAACCATAAAAATGCAAACGTAAGAATCTGAGAACACAACAAAATCTGATGTAAAAGAAAACATTAAAACGTAATTGTAAGAACGTAAACGCAACATTTCGATCACAATTAGAGTTTAGTGACAACGCAATACGGAAACTAAATAAAACTGCAAACGTAAGAACGTAAACGTAAAAACTTAGCAATATGAGAGCTAGAATTGTGATGAATATCAAAAAAACTAAGAGTTAAGCGCAAACTTAAGAACACAACAGAAAAAAGAAGTTTATAGCTGTTTCATACAAACATTGCCTTAAATACGCAAACGTAAGATAAAACGCAAACGTAATCGTAAGAAAATGGGACCTCTAGACATGAAAATTCTTTGTTGTTGTTGGCAATATTAAAAACTTAAAGAAATAAAAAAGTATACGTAACGTAACGTTGTTAAAATTTAAGAATGTAATAAAAATTTAAAAATTTATCAGAACGCAATGAAAAACGTAAAGTACAAGTGTAAAAAATGTTGTAAAAGTAAGAACGTAACGACGTAAAAATATGAAAATATAAAATTTTATAAAATGTAAGAAACGTAAGACTGTAGAAGAACAAAACGTAATCATAAGAATGCAAACGTAAGAACATTTGAGATCACAAGGAAATTCGTAGAAATCTGATGTATAAGAAAACAATAAAAGGTAATTGTAAGAACGTAAACGCAAAACTAAGAGTTAACCGCAAACTTAAGAACACAACATAAAAAATCTAAGAAATTTATAGCTGTTCCATAAAAACGTTGTTTTAAATACGTAATCGTAAGAAAATAAAAATGAGAACTGAAGAAACAATAAAAATCCTCTGTTGTTGTTAAAAATATCAAAAACTTAAAGAAATAAGAAAGTATACGTAACGTAACGTTGTTAAAATATAAGAATGTAATAAAAAAAATAAAAATTTATCAGAACACAATGAAAATGCAAAAATCTATGACAAACGCAAACGTAATCGTAAGAATAAAATAGAATTCGTAGAAGTCTGCTGTGAAAAAACATATACTCTTTTTCATATTAATGTGCATCAAGTAGGTTGTAGAAGTCTAAATGCAACTTTAATTTAAAGGCCGATTCACAGAAAAAGTGTCATTAATGTCATTCAGAACAAATTTAATAACATTAATAATGACAAAATCTTTATGTTAATTACGTTGTTAATTTTATTTTTTTTTGCTACCTCAAAAACTGGGGTACACATATTTATTTCAGAAAATAATTTTTAGGGAAGATTGAAATTGTGATTGTTTGAATTTTCGCATGGTTGCCACCTCTTTCGGCAACTGCTTTGATGCACATTAATATGAAAGCGACTATAGAAACGTAATGGTAAGAACGTAAACACAATCACATAAACAATATCAATCAATATTTTACAACCAAGTAGTAAGTAAACAACATAAAATGCAAACGTAAAAACGTAAACGTAACTTGGCATTACAAAAAGTAGCAAAAAACGAAAAGTCGTGTGCAAACTTATGGACGTAAGAACACAACATAAAGAATTAAACTATTTCAAAGTTGTTTTTTTTTCAAATCCTTTTCCTTTTATCTCAAATCGCAAACGTTGACATAAAGATAAACGTAAGAACGCAAACGTAGTGACACAACTTCAAAAATAAGTAATTAACACTTTTGTTGCTTAAAAACGTAAACGCAACAACGCGATTGTATTAAATGAAACGTAAAAAGGTGTAAAAAAGTTCAAGAATATTATAAAACCACGAGCCGCCACTGTGTCAAAATTCACATTGCGGCAAAAAAGCTTGACGAAAAAAACACTGAATGAACCAGTTTTGAGATAAAAACTGAAATTTATATGGTAAATTGAATTAATAAATTTAAAAAATTCAAATTTGCGCGATGTATTGCTGGTTGCGTAACACAAGGCGTCACGCAAGCTTACGTCACAAATGTCATTTGTTGGAAAAACTGACAGATGCAGTAAACAAAGATTTTTGTCGAATTTCCTGCAAGAATTAGCGTCCCTTACCTAAAATAATATCCTTAAATGAAGTCCGTGGTTTAAACATCGGATCGTTTCCGGTTAGTATTAGCAAAATCACATGTAAAACTCTCAATTAGAACGATTTAGATTTGGGTATAGGTTAGGAGCAATTGCGTTGAACTTTGCACCAAAGTTGAACTCCTCTTATCAGTAATTTCACAACGTGCGATTTTTATTGTCATTGATATAAATTCTGGTGAATTTTCGGCGAGAAACCGACCTCATCATGCGGCTTGACCACGATTCGAGTGTCACTAGCAAGATGTCGTGTTGGTTGCATACATCACAAAAAAATCAAAATTTACTTAAATATTTATTTTATTTTCGTAATGATATGATAAAACTACATCAACAATGATATATTTATTTACATTCAAAACATCGGGATGAAAGGGCGGAAATTTCGCGATGGGGGCACATTGCGCGATTCTAAACCGACCACTGTGCCCCCTTTCGCAAAATTTTCGCCCGCGTACATGACGTAAATATCGTAAAATGGCCTATCTTCTGTGAGGTGGAGTGTTATTTTTTAAAGAAAAGCTTTCCTCACTCTAATCATGCCGTTAGTTTTTTTTTTGGTTTGTTGTGAAAGAAAAACGCCGCCGCATCCACAACAAACAACCAAAAGCCTGTCTCATGCCACAATTTGCTTTTCTAAATTCTCAAAATTTGTGCAAATCGTGCAATCATGCTCTATCTTCTAATGTTAACTCACTAAATTAGGAGATGCAGTGGATACTTAACGTAACATAACGTAACAACTTAGAACTATTGAGCCTCCGTTATTATTAATACAGGTGAGAAAGTTGACGGGGATGAAAAAAGGAACGCGGTTTCGCATGCAAGAGAAAGACTCGGATTCGCCTCGTCGCGCAATGTTGCCAATGGAAATTATCTAATTTCCTAAAAAGACAGACGTCCAGTATACATAAAAACTAATTTGTTATATCAGAATTGTCAGGTGACGGCTAAGCCAGTGGTTGCCCGTCGCAAGGAAATGACAATTGCCTATAAAAGTTTGACGTTTGAATTTGAGAGTCAAGGTCGCCAACTAAGATTTTGAATTTGTTGCCAACTTGAGAATAAAAATCAATCATTTACATTCCATATCTTGGGCCTTGCATCATTCAATGTTGCCACCTTAATTTCAAAACTTTCATCACAAATTTTCTACGTTTTAGAGAGAACTTTTTTTTTAAGTTTATCACAGAGAATCTTAAACTCAAAATTTTAAGATGCGGAATTGAGTTTTTATAATTGTGATTTTTGTCGTCAGGTTGGCAATACATTTCAGTTTTTAAATTGGCAATCTTGGTCAGTAAATTCAAACGTCACAATCTTATAACCAATTATGCCATTTGAAATAGTCACGTAAAACTAATTGGAATAAGGAAGGCCAACAATTCAGTGTTGCCAATATAATTTACTTTTTATTTCTGATAAGGTGGCCTGTAATGTTGAAATGAAGTTGGCAACATTGAATGGCGTAGAGACAGGTGGACATCAAACTGGAATAAAAAAAAGAAACAGAAGATAGAACGTGTTTTTCAGTGTTGCCAATTTGATATCAAAATCACAGACCAGTTTAATCAGAAATTTACTAAACGTGTATGAGACATGTCAATATTCAACAATATTTATTGTTACCAACATAAAACTTGGAAACGAAAAATTTTAGTTTTTATTTTGTTTTTAAAGTTTGACACGGAAGAATCTTCAAAATTTAAAATTTTAAAATATTGAATTTTAAAAACCTAAAACACAGCTGTCAAAAGCGCAAAACTTATTTTGACAGCAAGGAAATGACAGTTTCCTATAAAAGTTTGACGTTTGAATTTGAGAGTCAAGGTCGCCAACTAAGATTTTGCATTTGTTGCCAACTTGAGAATAAAAATCAGTCATTTACATTCTATATCTTGGGCCTTGCATCATTCAATGTTGCCACCTTAATTTCAAAACTTTCATCACAAATTTTCTACGTTTTAAAGCTTATTTTCTTTGTGGTTTTGTAAATGCATGTTGCTAGGTGTCATAGCACTATAGTACCAACATGAAAGGAAAAACGTAACTAGTATGCGGTTAGTGTTGCCAACCTGCATTCGAAACCCTTCCTTTTCATCCCGCCCAAACGAAACGCCTTACAATACGATATGAAGAGAATTATTGTTTTGTTGACTTCGCACAATACGTGATATGCCTCTAGATTTATTAAAAAACACATTAGCACGGCTTTTGTTAAAATTCTACACAGATAAAATGGGTAAATCCCCGATTTTGGATGTTAATAATTGACCAATGAGCGTAATAAAAATGTTAATTTGAGTGATGGCTTGTTAAATACGTACCTCGATAATACTGTTATTATAGCCTAGCATAATATTGCATCGTAAAAATTTGCACTAATTTTCTTAATCCTAGTAAAAAGTGGGTGAAGTCCCTTAAAACGCATGCAGTTGTACCAATCCCCGCGCCACCTGTAGTGTGTGTCAGAAGCCAAACGCAAAACTAAAACACATGCAGTTAGTCGCCATCTTATTGTCAACCATAAAAAAATAAAATCGATTCTCTGGATGGAAGAGTCGTGTTGTTGACTATTATCGTATCAATAAGAAATTACTCCCTAGGATTTAGGGATATTCGTGAATAGGTTGCCATAAATTTGATTAGGTTGGTTGTCAAAATTTAGGTTAAGTCTCGTGTCAGCTTGTATGGATAATTCGATTGATAGTTGACAGCTGGTTGACAGAAAACGTCAACCGTCAACTACAAATGGTAACCAAAATTCTAGTTATAAACAACATGAAAAACGTAATTTTCCTAAAAGTTCAAATCCTAGGTGGTAATTTCTTGTTGACAAATCTGTACTCTACACAACTACAGTTGCCCACCACCACCACTCTTGAAGCGGGTGTTGTGGTTATTTTTGTTAATGCACTGTCTACCTATACATGCACAGGAGCAGATAAGCTACTACGAGTGTTAAAAGGGGGCCCGTGGAGGGGGCCACGCCGTTACACATGTCCTCCTCACAGAAGCACATGTGGCCAGTTCCGCTACTTTCCATCATGCACACGTGGTCCACCATGAACAAGTTGATCTGCAGCTGGGAAGTACACGTGCGACGCACCACCTCGTAAGCTAAACACAACGTTTTAATTAGACTTTGAAATTAAGTTGGCAACATTGACTGTCAATTGTCATTTATCTAATCTTGCCAACTTAATTGATTACTTACGAGATTTGGCGTTTCGGACCATTTTGACGCAGCACCCGTTGCAGGTCATGAGGGGCGGCTGGTCCCTTGGCAGGGCAGTGTAGTTAAAAGGGTCTTTGCAACGCATATCCGACCAACTGTCGCATTCGTAACAGTAGATCTGGCGCGCTAAATAAATACCACAAAAGAAAAAAAATATACATTTGGGTGTGTAAAAGTTACAAAATCTTTTCATCACTTCAAAGCTTTGAGGAAATAATGGCTTTCACACAAAAATCACATTGTTTTATGCAAATTCACCCGTTTCAATACTGCATCAAGTCGGCTACGTACGAAAACATGGCGTCTTTGACAGCAAAACAGCAAACATAAAAATGTGTTTCGTTAAATTTAATTTCTAGTCAATGTGACCTTTGAAAAATGGAGAGTCTCATTCAATGTTGCCAACTTCATTTCAAAATCACAGGCTACTTAATCAGAAATAAAAAATATATTATATTGGCAACCATGAAGTTGTCCTTCTTTTAATTGGTTATACGTGATTATGTCAAGTATTGTAATTGCCTAGAATTTAGAAGCCAAAATTGTCAACTTGACAAAAATTACAATCATGAAAACTCAAAGTCAAACAAACTATCAAAATAATTTTTACGCTTGTGACAGTTGTTTTAGGTTTTTAAAATTCAATATTGTAAAATTTAAAATTTTTAACGTTCTTCGGTGTCAAACTTTAAAAATCAAAATGAAAAAGCTAAAATTTTTCGTTTCCAAGTTTTATGTTGGTAACAATAAATATTGTTGAAATTGACACGTCTTATATACCACACGTTTAGTTGATGTCCATCTGTCTCTACGCCATTCAATGTTGCCAACTTCATTTCAAAATCACAGGCCACCTTATCAGAAATAAAAAGTAAATTATATTGGCAACACTGAATTGTTGGCCTTTTTTTAATTGGTTACACTTATGTCAAGTGTTGTAATTTCCTGGAATTTAGAAGCCAAAATTATCAAATTTATTGCCAACTTGACAAAAATTACAATCATAAAAACTCAAAGTCAAACAAGCTGTCAAAATAAGTTTTACGCTGCTAACAGTTGTGTTTTTGGTTTTTAAAATTCAATATTTTAAAATTTAAAATTTTTAAAATTCTTCTGTGTCAAACTTTAAAAATGAAAAAAATAAAAAAAAAATTCGTTTCCAAGTTTTAAGTTGGCAACAATAAATATTGTTGAGTATTGACACGTCTCATATACCACACGTTTAGTAAATTTCTGATTAAACTGTGATTTTGATATCATTGGCAACACTGAAAAACACGTTCTGTCTTCTTCTGTTTTTAGTTTTTATTCAAGTTTGATGTTCATCCGTCTCCACACCATTCAATGTTGCCAACTTTATTTCAAAATTACAGGTCACTTTATCAGAAATAAAAATAAATTATGTTGGCAACACTGAATTATTTGCCCTTCTTATTCCAATTAGCTACACGTGATTATTTCAAATGACATAGTTGGCTATAAGATTGTGACGTTTGAATTTAGTGACCAAGATTGACAATTTAAGAATTGAAATTTATTGCCAACTTAACGGCAAATATTAAAATCATAATATTTTAAGTTTCTAAAATTGCTTGTGATAAACTTTAAAAAACAAAATAAAAAAAAATTCGTTTTGAAGTTGTCTACGTTCTGCAAACTGTTTCCTTAAGATTGCAAAAATGTAGTAATGTTCTTTGTATTCAAAGTGGCCAATGATTCCAAAATTAAGTTGGTAATAATGAATAATGTTGAATATTGACACCTCTTATAACCTGGGTTTTATAAAATTTTTGATCAAAATGGTCTGTGATTATATTAAATTGGCAACACTGAAAAACACGTATAGTTTCTATTTTTTTATTCTAGTCACATGTCTTATATCACCTGTCATGTTGTCATGTCAATGTTGCCAACTTAATTTTAAAATCACAGGTCACTTTGAGTAGAAATTATTACAAAACGTTTTTTTTTTTTTAATTTTGAAGGTTCAAGATTCGAAACTATTAAAATTCTATTCTTACAAATTTGTGATTTTTAAGTATAAAAGCCGTTTCAAATTGATACGTCTGAAAAAACACTGTTTTCAATTTCAGAAGTTTGTTGCTAGGCAACAGTGAGTAAATTGTCAAAGAGCGCCATATTAGAGACATTACACCTAACAATTTGAAACGAGTTCTACTACCGGTTTTTGTGTGTGAAAACCAACATCAGAAAAATTGTTAAAATACAAACTTACTTTGGCATTCCGCATTAATAACTCTTGTTATTGCTAGCAATACTATCACTGAAAATATAAACAATATTAAATGGTTAGTAATTAAAAAAAATGGAAAATGTGGGTCTACAGCAGGAATAGGGTTATTTCAGTTTTTTTAATTTTTGTCATGTTTTCGGGTCAAGTGAAGATTATTTTTAAAATTTCACGTTTTTTTATATAAAAATTTCCGAGAGATTAATCGTCCTATATTAATAATATTTGGCACGTTATAAACCTCAATACGTGTCTATTTTTACAGATTAATAAATGAGCTTTCTCTAAATATTTTTCATAAAAATAAACTTCAAATATAATTAAGTTAATAGCGCAGTAATTGGATTTGTGAACTCTCATTTCACAACACAACAGAATATTTATTTAGTGCCAAAAACACCAAATTACTACTCACGAGCACAACTCCACTGGCAACTTCCAAAATTAACTAAACAAACTGCAATAAAAAAAATCAACTACCCTAATCAGTCCTATTCCTGTCATATTTCCGGTGAGAAAAAGCAACATTACCTATAAATGGCAAGACGTGATCAAATTTAATCCTCCCGAAAGACATTTTCGCCAATTAACTGTTCTAAAAACACCTCACTTTCATCACTATCGTATTCGAATTTTGCAAACTCGGTTATTTTGATTCGAGTCCATTTCTCCTCTTATTATATTGATCTGTTTCACCTCTGTCTCTCTTTAACTCCCCAGCTTTGTTGCGACTTTTCCACCGACTCTATTCTTTACCACTTAAAAATAAACGACATTTCTCGGCCTCGAAGCGATCTCGAGTGGATATTTGGGCGAAAACGGGGCTTTTTCGTTGAAAAAATCGCGAAAAGCGGGTTCGAATAAAAGCCTGCGCAGGATAACTCAGGACACACGCATGTGTGGAGCGAAATTCCCCCAGAATTAACAATTGATCAAACGATTTTTCCGTTTTGGGTATTTTTAGATCGTTTTGGTGCCAAGAGTCGGAAATCCACTCAAAAACAAGTCGGTTTGTTACGAAATTTTAATATGTAATGACAAAAAAGACACACAAATACATGAATAGGAAAAACAGTAGTAAATCAACAAAGTGATGAAAATAAAGCACTTTTTTCAGAACTATTACCAAAATCAAAACTGCGGTAAATCGTCGTAAATCACAGGAATTCTGAAGCCACAATAAAGGCAATTCGACGTTGCTTCTTTTCTGGGGTTTATTTTGAACCAAATTGTCCCGATCTTGCAAAAAGTCAAAATCTGAAATTTAATAAGTTGGGTTAATTAGTTTCATAAGATTGGCAACACTGATCTTAGATTGTTACTACCGTGTAATCAAAAAAAAATATCCTCTTTGTTATCCCTTTTATAGAAATTAGTGATTTATGACCACTAATCTTTTGTTTAAACTAGTTTTGACAATTTGATATATTGCATTTTTGCAATTTCGGACTTTAATCGCTGACAAGGAAAATTATGACTGTAATAAGCATTTCATTGTTTAAATGCATGGCGTACGGGTGTTAGAAAATAAATTTTTAACTCAATCGAGTCATAAAATTAAAAATTTTGATTCAAATAAGCGGGAAATTTAAATTTGCCAATTAATCATTGGTTGTCAGTCATGTTGGCAACATTGAATAATGGAGATATCAGGGTGCAATTAATTCAATTAAATCAATTAAAATGTAATGTAATGTAATTAAAAAAAATATTTGGAATTCAAGTGTTTTTAGCTAAATTATCTAATTATAAGACAAAACGACACACGTCCAGTATACAAAAAAAAAATATTTGTTATATCGGGATGTGTCAGGCGACGGCTAAGCCAGCAGTTGCCCGTCGGAAACGAATGACAATTGACTATAAAAGTTTGACGTTTGAATTTGACAGTCAAGGTTGCCAGACTAAGATTTTAAACTTGACGCCAACTTGAGAATGAAAGTCATTTAATTACTCGGTGTGAAAATTTAAAAAAATGTAAATACCGTGCGATCCAATAAAAAATAAATTAGGCGGTGATTAAAGTCCTTCAGATGGCAATCCTGATTTTTGACATTAAATGTCAGTGGAAACTTTGACAAGTAACCTAGTCAACAGTTATCACAATTATTTTATTGCAAGGCAGTTTTCAGGTAACTAAACTCTGATTAATGTTTTAGAACTGATTGTTTTATTAATTTAATTTTTTTGCGATTTTTTACTCTCAAATTATTGGGAATGTCACCATTTAAGTACATTTGCCTAAACAAAAGAAACTTTCTCGAGTTGGAATTGTCACAATAGATAAGATAAGGGCACGTATTTAAACAGTCTAACATACTGAGGAAACAACCTTCTGGGATGCTACGTTTCGTGCCACCATCATCAGGATTTTCTTCTTCTTCCGGTTGTGTGACACAATCTGCACCATTCACCAATTTTTTCTTCCTTCTCAATCGTTTTTTCTGACTTTTTGACAGTAATTGTGGTGTGTGATTTTCGGTTAAATTACTAGCTTCATTCAATTGTAAATCAGTGGTGCCAACTTCACTTTTATCGGTATTGTTCTCAACATTAGCGAACTTCTTCCTTAATCTTCTCAATTGATTTTTTGGTATTTTTGTGACTCCAGTTGTGATTATGTTGTGTTTGTTTGGGTCAATATCAATCGGTGGGGGCTTGTGGTAATAATAGAAATCATCGAGTTCGGTTTTTCCCCCATCATCACTGTCCTCCTCAGATGTGTAACCATGGAGTCGCAAAATATCATCATTTAGTTCGTCCTGTGTGATAAATACGATAAGAAGAGAAATGAGTAATTAAACTAACCTCGTCCATGAAGTTACCGGAAAGTCCCGAATTATAACCTAAAATTACAACCTTGACAGTTTATGGCGTACCTATGGTTTTAACTGACTGATAGAATGAAAACAATAACTTGTAATACACAGTTTTTGATAAAACTATATGATAACACTGCATTTACGGAACGGTTAGTGTGGCCTTGAAGTTTGAAACACTGATGCAAATATTTACGATGATTTAATTCTGAGTACATTTAAGTACTAAAAACGCTTAATATAGTTTGTAGGGCAGTACTTTTATTCATTTTATTAATTATTTAAATAGTTGTTTATTATTTTTTATTTAATAATCTTTTGTTGGCAACACTGAATATGGCAACAGCTTGTGTGACTTTGAGGTTACAGTGATCAAATTTTGAAATACTAATTAGAAAAACGCCGAATAAATTATATAGTAGTGATTTTATTATTTATTGCAAATAATTTCCTGATTTTTGTTCTTTACTCTACAAGAATCTGTTGGCAACATTGAGGCGTGCACCTAGAATTACAACTGATTAGTTTGGTTTTTTGCCGATTAATGTTGAATAAAACAAACTATAAGTAGAAAAGTTTATTAATGAGTAGCGCATACATTATTTCTTCTATTTCTAATTCCGTTTGTGGAAATAGTGATAAAAATACGGCATTTTTTTCAAAACAACAATAAAAACTATAATTGAAGCAACAGTTCTTAAATCGCAAGAATTTCGAAGCCACAATAAGGACAAGTCTATCAAACTTCTCCCTTTCTTCGGTTTATTGTTCTCAAATTGAACTTTTTCCACTTGAAAATTTGATTCGCTTAAATCCTCTTGTAACAAGTTCAAATCTGAAAATTAACAAATTTGAGTCAATTCATTTGCTGCAAATATGTTTTTCTAACTTGGTTCTACTAAAATATAACAAAAAGTCTGTTTTTGGGGGTTTTTAGTCTCAAATTGTGGTAACATCACCATTTAGGGATTTTTCTAAACAAGCGAAACGTTACTCGAAATAATAGACAAGGTAAAGGCAAGAATTTAAGAGAAAACAACCTTCCGGGATGCTACGTTTCGTCGCAACATCATCAGGATTTTCTTCTTCTTCCAATTGTGTAACATTTTGACCACAACGATGAGAAGACTCTGAACAAGACAATTTTTTCTTTATTCTCAAATTTTTTCTCTGCCTTTTTGTCAATCGTGAATCAGGAGTGCCAACCTCACTCACATTACTGCTTTCATTCTTCTCATCATGATTTTCTTGTTCGTTTTTTAAGTGATTACAAGGAAGAGTAGAGTCCGAAGTCACATTTTTCCTCCTTCGCAACCTTTTTTTCTGACTTTTTGTCAAAAATTGTGAATCACTGGTACCAACTTGACTAAAATCACTACTGTCATTCGTCTCATCATCAGCAAACTTCTTCCTTAATCTTTTCAATTGATTTTTTGGTATTTTTGTTACTCCACCTGTGATTATGTTGTGTTTATTTGGGTCAATATCAATCGGTGGGGGCTTGTGATAATAATAGAAATCATCGAGTTCGGTTTTTCCCCCATCATCACTGTCCCCCTCAGAAATGTAACCATGGATGCCCAAAATCTCGTCATTGACTTCGTCCTGGGGGATAAACATAAATGACAACAGAAATGGTAAATAAATCCAACCAACCTCGTCCATGGGAAACCCTGAATTCTAACCTAAGAACTCAACAATAAAACACAACTTTTTGACACAGTTTTACCGACTGATGCTATAAATAGACGTGACAAGACCCGATTTTTCGATAAAATAGTGATTAATACATTGCGTTCATAGCAATGTAAGCACAAGTAACCTTGACCTTGAATTATGTAAATTACCATTTAACTCATTTTTTAATTACGGTGATTTAATAATTATAAATAAGCCTCTAGTAAAGTGCACAGAAAGAGTATTTTTGTTTATTTTACTAATTATTTCAATAGTTTTGTGTTAATTTTCCTTTATTTGATTTCTTCTATTGGCAACACTGACTCAAGCGCATGCGCACTGTACTGTTGTCATTAAACGTCAACTTTGACAGTCCTCCGAAGACCACCAAAGTTTAAACATGTGTCGTGTTTCACGTCTAATTCCGTGTTAACCCACTATGTAAATAAACACAGTGGTTAAAATGGCAAAACGACTAACCGAAGAGATGGTCATCGCACGGACCAAAATCTCCGATCTTGGTAAAATCAAGCGACTCAACTGTTGGTACGTCCCCAACCCCCCTGATTTTCACGCTTTAATGCCCCCATTTCAGGGGTAGTGAACTCGTGGACGTCTCCCTGTTGCGCAAAATGCCCAGTGTGGAGGTTTTATCTCTCAGGTAAGCTCGTAATTAGAATTCAACCTGTGCGTAGTTGTTACACCTGTCCCGCTTTGTTTACACGATGGGTGAGTCACAGGTGGGACACGTGCCTAGCTGGGACGCGAATGCCCTATAAGGCGAGATTGCCGTCCCAAGGACGGACCCCACGCTTTTTTTCGACCACGAAATGCAGTTGTTTCCGTTACTTGGGGACCAGATGGCATTCGGTGTTTACCAAACAGATTGAGTGATGGTGATTGAGGCCATAAAAACGGTTTATCGGCTATTAAATGATGGGAAAAAAGGCGGCGGTGCCAACCAAATGTCAAATTTTTGACAGGTAGAAGGCCATGAAAACGGTTTATCGGCTATTAAAAGTTGGCTGTGCCACCAAAATGTCACAAATTTTTGACAGGTCGAGACCACGTGGGTGACCTTGAGACACTTATACCGAGTGTCCCAAATCACATGATTTATATCGGTTTTCATTAAATGATTTTATTACATGATATATTGGGAAGGGTCAGTAAAACCATTTATGTCTGTTGTTTTTGATTTAATTCCAGATGTGTCATGATTAGAATATTAAATAATCCGATTTGTATAAAAATGTAACGTAATATTGACAAACAACCGCGTACTTTTGATTCATTTTCTTAAAATTACTTTTTAAAAAAGGTGGCTCTGACATTAAAATTAAGTTGGTAACATTGAGAGCCACGGAATGAATATCTATGTTTTTTAATTAATTTCTGATCAAAGTGTCCTGTGACTTTAAAATAAAATTGGTAACATGAACTGTCAGATTCAGTCAATAGTTCGATTGCCAACTTAATTTCAAAATCCCAGGTCACTTTGATCGGGCATTTATTTGAAAGCATGGTTTGAAGAGCACGTGGATGACCTTGAGACACTTATTATTTGAAAAGTAGCTCAATTGAGATGACTCCACTATTACCCCAAATAAATTATTAACCGAGTGTCCCAAATACCATGATCTTTAACATAAATAATTTGTTTTTCATTGAATGATTTTTTTATTACAAATGTTGGGAAGGGTCAGTAAAACCATTTATGTCTCTTGTTTTTGATTTAATTCCAGTTGTGTCATGATTAGAATATTAAATAATCCGGTTTGAATGAAAATGTTACGAAATATCGACAAACAACCGCGTACTTTCGATTCATTTTCATAAAATTTTTGTTAAAAAAAAGTTGGCTCTGACATTCAAATTAAGTTGGCAACATAGAGAACCACAGAATGAAAGATCAAATAAGATTCCGATCAAAGTGTCCTGTGACTTTGAGATTAAGTTGGCAACATGAACTGTCAAATTCAAACGTCATGGACATGGCCGTCACTTGACACAATTTGCTATCGCCAATAGTTTGGTGTTGCCAACTTAATTTCACAGTCACAGGTCACTTTGATTGGAAATTTACTTGAAAGCATGGTATGAAAATTGACATATCTCCTACATGCACAGTGTTGCCAACCTAATCATAAACTCATAAGCCACTTTGATCAGAAAAATTTAGTTAAAAATTGATAGACAAATTGGAATTTCAAAATTTTTATCAATTTAACAAAAATCGCAAAATCATTAATTTTAACTTTTTACGCCTAATTTCACACGTATGAAATATTGCGACGCCATAAAAGACAAAGAATTAATTATTTCATTCATTGTGGAATTTGTTGGCACAAACAATTGTGTAATAATAATAACAATAATAATAAATCTACAATATTAAATGTGTAATAAACATTTATCTGGAAAATAAAACAGTAGGTTTATGGAGGTTTAACTTTTACTGTTTTGGACAGACTTCAAGAACATAAGGATTTAATTAATTAATTAACTACAAACGATGCAAAAATAACCGGATATTAAAACTTGAATTAAAAAAAAAGAGGATATGATTCATATTTCATCACTTTTAATAAGCAATTAGTTAATTGAATGAATTACATCTTCGTGAGCTTTCTTTTTTCATGGTTGCCATGTTTGTAAATCGTAGAAAAAACCCAGATCATGTGATCCATTTCGGCGTTTAAAAAGTGTGAAGAATCGTAGTAGCAATGTGTCAAATGTCAAACTCATAGCAAACTTGTGTTTTCTTGTGACATTTCAATTTCTTCGAAAAATTAAAATTCCGTTAACAATTTTCGTGTCGTCACAGCAAACTTGTGTTTTTTTTTTAAATTTTAATTTCTTCGAAAAATTAAGTTCCGTTAACAATTTTCGTGTCGTCCTACACGAAAGTAATTACCTGAAGTAATATTCCGAAACTTTCTCGACAACAAAATCTGTAATTCCGTTAAAATTTACGTTCATATCACGCGTGGGTAAGCACAGATCGTGAGAAATTTTCCTTTGGAAGAAAATATTAAAAAGTATTTTCGACCGGAAATGGCGGTTGTTTAATTGGAAGCAATTGTTTCGTATCTACTTTGCCATCAGTGGAAAAAAACAATACAAGTAGGTGGCTGTGCACGAATTTGGTTACCGCGTTGGCCATGAAAAGGAAAAGTGGGTATAAAAAATCTGAAGAAGAAAATAATAAGACAGAAAATTGTCTAATTAAAACACATCGTGGTTATTTTATCGTTTTCTTTCGATTCCTTTCACTACAAGATGGAAAATCTGAATGTCGTGCTCACTGACTATAGACAAGAGCAAGTGAAACCTTTTAATTCTGGTTAACTTTAATTATAATGGAAGTATCGATGGTTTTAACCAAGTTTTATGCATTTTTCCACCCAAGTGAAAGTCTCAAGTCTTACAATAATATTTTTAATTAAACATTAAGGTGTGTCGACAAGTTTGTGAAAACGCGAGGGTGTTTAAACCCACACACCACATTACCATACCCAACCTCAAAACCATCGATTTTAAAACGCACAAAAGCGAAATAATCGACCTTGAGGAAAACTTATCATCGATTAGAGCCACAAATATTTTATTAAACAAGTTAAATATTTTCCCGACTTTTGATAATAGAAGTTAGGTTGGCGACATTGTTTATGTAGAAACAAATCTTAATTTGGCAACACTGACTATCAAATTTAAACGTCATAATTTTATAGTCAATTGTCATTAGCTTCCGACGGGCAACCACTGGCTTAGCCATCATTTGACACATCACGATATAACAAATAATTTTTGTGTATACTGTACGTCTGTCATTTTGTCTCTTCAAGAAATTAGATAATTTATATTAAAAAAACTTGGATTTTTTGATTTTTATGTCTACTAGACTTTGTTTTAATTGGCGTCAAGTTTGAAATTAATTTTGGTTTGGCAACCCTGATTCTGAAATTCAAACGTCAAACTTTTATAGTCACTTGTCATTCATTTCCGACGGGGCAGTCGCTGGCAAAGCCGTCGCTGACACAACGAAATATCATCAAAAATTCAGTGTTGCCAATAGTTCAATTTGTTGCAGCATTAACAAAATCAATAGTTTGGTCGATTTCCAATTATGCAAACGCTTAGAGGAGCTCTACATACGCCAAAACGACATTCGCGACTTGAATCAAGTAGTCTACTTGCAAAATCTCCCCAACTTGAAGAACCTCTGGTTGGGGGAAAACCCTTGTGCTAACGCAGACGGCTACCGACTTGCTGTAATCAAAGCTTTGCCTCAGCTTCAAAAGCTCGACAACGTTCAAGTGTCTCAAGAAGAATTGCGAGAGGCTCAAAGAAAAGGTCGTGTGTTGTGTCATCCCGATGACGCGCAAGACAGTGAAGAGGAATACGCCCCGCCACAGCCCCAGTACTACTCCGAATCGGAGTACAGTCCCGTACAGAGGAGTCCCCCGAGACAGGAGGTGAGTTTGTGTTTTGGTGGATTTTTGGTGTTGTTAGTTGCATTTTAACAAACTTAACACGATTTAAATCAGCCCGACTATGAAATCGAAGAAAGTGAAGATCTGTATCCCAAAGATGAGGTTTCAGAAGAAAGTAAAGAATATTCGCCACCGAGACAGGTAAAAGAAACTGTTTATTAACATGAGACACGCTTAATGCTTATGTGACGTCTGCACACTTCCACAAAATAAGGTAGAACTCACCAAATGGGGATTTTTTTTTATTGTTTAACAAAAAATAAATGCCGTTATAAATTAATGAACACTCTGTATATAGCCGTTTTAATTCAATTTGTAAGTCTAAAAGTTTTTTCGCAATATTCTTAATTTGGCAACACTGACTGTCAAATTGAAACGTCACAATTTTATAGTCAATTGTCATTCATTTTCGACGGACAGTCGCTGGTTTAACTGGATATAACAAATTAGTTTTGTGGATACTGGACGTCTTGTCATTTTGTTTTTTTTAAGAAATTAGTTTAATTTTTTTGCTACACCTAAGTTAGAGTTACACCCCTTTATATTTACATTTTTTTAATTTTTACAAATGATTTTTATTCTTAAGTTTAAAATCTTAGGTTGGCAACCTTGACTGTCATATTCAAATGTCAATCATTTATAGTTAATTGTCATTCATTTATTTTAACTTGTTTTTTATTCTAAAATCCCCATTTTTGGGTTCATCCTCCGTGTTTGGCGTCTTTTGACCCCACTTTGGTGTTGCACAGCCCAGCCCCCCTCGTCGGACGGAACCAGTGCGTCGTAGCTACTCCCCGGAGCCCCCTGCGTACGTAGAACGTCGTCGTAACAGCTACGAGCGTGAATCCCCCAAACAGCCCCCTCAATACTACGACGTAAGTAACACCACCACCCCCCATTTCACGCTAATAACACCCCATCAGCAAAGGTGTCCCGCCGATCACGCATTCGAAGATAACACCCATCACTGTGATAATAATTATAGAGAAGTGAAACTCGTTAACAGCCAATCAGCTAATTGCATTAAGGTGGGTGAATTAACAAAAAAAAAAATGTTTTTGGGGAAAAACAAAACTCGTATGTTAACAGGAATATACGAATGGGGATCGGTACGCGCACTCGCAATACAGAGAGAGCGACTCGTCGGCGCACAGTCATAGGTGTCCGGCGGCGGCCCATAGGCCCCCATTTGTGCGACGACCTGTGACGAGGAATTCGAATATTTTGTCGGCGGTTTTGCGACTGGTGAAGGAGTTGGATTATCCGAGTTTGGAGGTGGTGGAGATGGAGGTGAGGTCGAGGATGGACGAGTTGGATGAATGACGAAAGGATAAGTCGTCACAGGACGATACAGCACAAGAGATGACAGAGTGATGACCAAGGGGGCGCAGCGCACAGCAAGGATTGTATTTATTACTTATCTATTTTTAATTTTTTATTTACTTAATGCAGCTAATTTGAGTATTACGTAAGGTCGATAATGATCTAATAACTAAAAATAAAAGTCTGATTTTTTCTTATTTTGCATCGCAAGCTTCATAATTGTATATAAAACTGCCACGAATTAAATGTTAACAAGACAAGTTGTAAACGAGACTATTTTTCATTAATTATTATGTTTTTGTGGTTTCGTAACTCACTTGTTGTTGTTTGCAAATTTGAATCGTTTCATTCCCTCCATTTAGACTGTTATTGTTTAAATATTTTATACTGTTAATCTAGTCTTTAGTTGAGTAACTTTTCATTTGTCCTTGACGTTAAGTATTAAAATAAGTGCAATTTGTAAAATTATTAATAAATTAATATTATTATGTGCGGGTTTCTAGCCTTGAAACTTGTGTGAATCCCTGAAAAAAAATGGACGATTAATTTTAAATCGATGCAACAGGTTAAAATGCTCTATGAAGAATAACGTTAAAAACAGAACATCCTGTATAAAAATCAAAATTTTCCTAATTTTATGGAAAATACAATATGTAAAATTCTCCTGCACAAACCGTTTTGACCTAGGACTCTTAGTTTTCAGGTTATAATATTTTTTTTTATGAAAAACTAAAAAATGTTTCAATTTTGATTACTATTATAGAGCGTTTCAAAATGATTGACGTCTCGGTAAGACATTCAAATTTTAATTTAAGGTGGCAACATTGGTACTTTGACAGTTTTAGGTTATTTATCTTTGTACGATTGCAACCACTGGTTAAAGATGCGTCTACTTCAAATCTTGTTACATTTTTCTTTCTGTTCTACGTTTTATCTATATTTAGCAAAACATGCATATTTGTTTTGGACTAATAGGTTATGTTATTTGACAGAATTCAACTGAAATGTCATTTTTTATGCTAAAGAATTTTCACACTAGTAACCTTTTTGGAACTAAAATTGTGAAGTCTGATTTATATTCTCAACGCCTACCGAGGTACCAATCATTTTGAAACGTTCTATACTTCATCTTTGGAGTGCGTTCCAAAACTGCATCTGTTCACAATTTTTTTCTTTTTCTTATTAACATGATTAATGTTTTACTATACATATGTTCTACGTAAAATGTTCTGGGAAGTTGATTGTCGTCGAGGAAACCTCAAAATTCGCAATAGTTTAGAAGTTACAGTTATAGATTTTGACTATTTTACTAGCGATTTTCTCAATAACTATTTATAGCAAAACAATGCAATTTTTTTTATAATATTGGAAATTTAATATGCTTTCCAACTGCAGTACACATAAGGGGGTACTAGTAATAGTTTAGGAATTATTTGGGGTTAACCGTTACGGTTATAACCAAATGACAAAAATTTCGCCAAAAATTACAAACTTTAAAATCGGACCAAATGACGTTTTTTGCACTCTTAAAAGTCCAAAAGACTTCTTTCTAATTGTATAAAACGCTGTTGGGTCGAGTTTGAAAAATATCGAATTTTTAATTGAATTAACCGAAAAAAAAATTAATAATTTTTCCGAAAAACCCAGTAAAATTTTTAACATTCGCCAAGAATAAAAGGAATTTTAATATTTTAAATTAAAAAAAATAAGTAAATAATTTTAAAAAATTGAAGTTTGATTTACATTCTCAACGCCTACCGAGATACCAATCATTTTGAAATGTTTTATATTTCACCTTTGGAGTACGTTCCAAAACTGCATCTGTTTACAATTTTTTTCTTTTTCTTATTAAAAGGGTGAATGTTTTACTATACAACATATGTTCTATGTAAAGTGTTCCGGGGAGTTGATTGGCGTCGAGGAAACCTGAAAATTCGCAAGAGTTTAGAAATTATAGTTATAGATTTTGACTATTTTCTCAATAACTATTTGTAGCAAAACAATGCAATTTTTTTTATAATATTGCAAATTTAATATGTTTTCCAACTGCAGTACACATAAGGGGGTACTAGTAATAGTTTAGGAATTATTTGCGGTTAACAGATACGGTTATAACTAAATGACAAAAATTTCGCCAAAAATTACAAACTTCAAAATCGGACCAAATGACGTATTTCGCACTCTTAGAAGTCCAAAAAACTTCTAATTTTAAACGCTGTTTCAATTTTTAATTGAATTAACCAAAAAAAAAATTAATAATTTTTCCGAAAAGCCCAGTAAAATTTTTAACATTTTCCAGGAATTAAATGAATTTTAATATTTAAAATTAAAAAAAATAAGTAAATAATAAAAAAAAAAGTTTGATTTACATTCTCAACGCCTACCGAGATACCAATCATTTTGAAACGTTCTATATTTCACCTTTGAAGTACGTTCCAAAACTGCATCTCTACAATTTTTTTAATTTTATTGTTAAAAGGGTTAATGTTTTACTATACTTATGTTCTATATAAAATGTTCCGGGGAGTTGATTGTCGTCGAGGAAACCTCAAAATTCGCAATAGTTTAGAAGTTACAGTTATAGATTTTGACTATTTTACTAGCGATTTTCTCAATAACTATTTATAGCAAAACAATGCAATTTTTTTATAATATTGGAAATTTAATATGCTTTCCAACTGCAGTACACATAAGGGGGTACTAGTAATAGTTTAGGAATTATTTGGGGTTAACCGTTACGGTTATAACCAAATGACAAAAATTTCGCCAAAAATTACAAACTTTAAAATCGGACCAAATGACGTTTTTTGCACTCTTAAACGTCCAAAAGACTTCTTTCTAATTGTATAAAACGCTGTTGGGTCGAGTTTGAAAAATATCGAATTTTTAATTGAATTAACCGAAAAAAAATTGACAATTTTTCCGAAAAACCTAGTAAAATTTTTAACATTCGCCCGCCAAGAATAAAACGAATTTTAATATTTTTAAATTAAAAAAAAGTAATATGTAATAAGAATAAAATAGAAATAAATACTCAATAATAAAAAGTAAAATAAAAATAATTAAATATTTAAATTTTTAATAAAAAAAAACATTATTTTACAGAGAAGAATAATTAGTTTTTTAATGGTACGCTAAATAATTTGCACAAAGGGCCTCATCTGTCACATTGTCAGCAACCGGGGATTTTCTGTACCCATCCAAGTCCACACAATAGCCCTTTGTCCCTGTTTTTTGCAAGTTTTTATAATTCCCACTAGGTTCACACTTCAACGATTGACTTTTTCCCGCTTCTTCATAAATCTTGCTATCCCTTGCACAATCTAAAAAAAATTGATTTCTTATTTTTTTTTAATGTTATTATTTTCAAAAAAGGGCCAAAAACCCCACTTACTGCAATCGACCGCATCGTTACCATCCGAAGCCCAGGACCCAATTTTACTATTGTCCCTCCAGGTGCAATAAACTCTAAGAAAATTAATCAAAAACGAAAAAATTTTTTTTATTAAAATCTTACGCCCCATCCACATAAGTGTAAGCCCCGTAACTCCCATCATCATCACACAAAAAATCCACATAACTTGCAACAGTTCCATGCAATTTCAGTTCATAGAGAACGCGTTTTTGGGCGTAGAGTTTGCTCTCGCACTGTCGCAGGTATTGGCCCCCCACGGAGGCAGAATCGTCTTAAAAAAATTCTAATCAAAGTGGCCTGTGATTTTGAAACGAAGTTGGCAACATTGAAGTATGTCGCTGTTGCCAACTTAGCCTCAAAGTGTGTTACTTACAACATGGCAGTTTCGACATTGCTTTTAGGGGAACCACCGGCGAGGTTAAATCTCCGGTTTGAGTGTCCGCACACCAACATTGTTCACTAATAATGTCACACTGGAGGGGTTCGTAATTACCCATGGTGTCACAGTGCAAACTATTGAAATAAACAGAGTCGGCCATGTCTGCCTTTTTGCGACTACAAGCTATAATTTTTTATTTTTTTTTTACACTAATTTGGGGATTTTTTGGTGAAAATACCCACCACAAGTCATATTTTCGGCCTGATTTTGCCACTGTTGACCAAACAACCTTTCCCCACCGGCCCCAAAACAAAAACACCTGAAATTTTTAAATTACAACAATGGAGAGTTACAAGTACCAACCTTCCAGTTGTGTATTCCCCTTTGCATTGTTTGGCCCCAAATTTTCCATCTTTCGCACATTCGGTAGGTTTGTAAATCACACTTTTATACGATGTTCCGTAATATTTATCACAAATACCTTAAATTTTGTTATTTCTAATTTGATTTGAAAAAATATTCTCGTACCTGGTCTAGAAAATTTATCACATTTGGGTAAACCAATTTTTGAAACATCCTCATTGAAATAGTCGAGGCCTTGACTGAAACAATCTTGTGGCACCAAATCGGACACTATTTCAAGACTCCCTGTATATTGCTGAATGGAAAAGTGCACAAAAAGTGTCAAAAAAATCACACAAAACGAAATCATCTTTTAATAAGCACTGTTTTTATTGTATTTTAAAAGGAATTGCTCTTATCACTATTTGATAATATTTTTATCAGATTTTTTATCTTCGATCTGATTTCGCGCTAATTGACATTATCGCCAACATTAGAAAAATGAAACACATTTATTTTAGGTTTACACGCTTTTGGATATAACAACGCAAAGAATTTGCGATTATCGTTTACTGATAATAATCTTATCAGATGTTATCTTTATTTTTGTTTTACGAAAGCTCGTTTCGGGCTTGTGCACTTTCGGTCGTAGGACCTGTTATCACTGACACGATTTTAATTTTTCGAGTAAATTTTGAAATATCTGTTTAGCGTTAATTGATAATAAATAATCTTATCAGATTTTATCTTCGATTTGATTTCGTCGTAATTGACACCACAGCCAACATTAGAAAAACAAAATTAATATAATATTTTCGGCTTGTACGCTTTCGATTCTAACAACGTAAAATAATACTGAAAAAAATTACGATTATTATTTACTGATAATTAATACTCGACGAATTTTATTTTTATTCTCATTATTAAAAACATGAAGCTTTGAAGGCCGTTTCGGGTTTGCGAGCTTTCGGTCGTAGGACCACAATGAGGTTATGTTAATCACCAAAACGTTTTTAATTTTTTGATTTTATTTTAAAATGTTGCAAGAAATATCCGAAGTCGAGGACAATGAAGGCTCACGCCCGATCCTAGGTAACTCCCTAACCCCCAAACTTGTCTAATTTCCCATTTTTAGTGGAATTCCAAAATAGCAACCTCCAAGAAGGCCAAGAACACCACTTAAAAACGGCGATTTTTAAGCAAAACCAGGCCACAATTGTGGCCATAGCTAGCCCGAAGCTTTTATACACTGGAAATGTCACTCGAGACAAAGACCAAGATCTCCACAAGCGCTTTCTGGTGATTTCAAACAGACGGACTGGAAAAGTAGTAATAAAAATATTGTATGCAACCTTTGCGAAAACTATTTGTAGGTGCGTCTAGTGGCCGTCGACACGGTGCTTCTCACACCGCAATTTGCGCAAAGGAGTAGTGACACCACGAGTGTGAAAAACGCAAATTCGGTAAATAAATTGAACAAGGCGTTTGGGTCCAAAAAAATTAAAAAAATCACAGAACAAAGGGAAAGAATGACGATGAATATTGACGACGTTAGAGAGCAATTAGAACAAACAGTTGCCGGTTAATATAAATTTCAAGTTGAACAACTGAAAATTTCAAATTTCAGGAATTGAACTCGACGAAAGTGCCCCTCTGGTCGCACAAATCGGCGAAAATGACAGTAATTATAGGCCCCCGATTCATAGAGATGCTTCAAGTAGGGAAGAAGTCTACATTTTGGAGGAAATTGTCCCTTCACACGTCCTAAATTCGTTGGAAGACGAATCTAGGGAGGTTTTGGACTCTGATTTGGACTCTTTAGAGTCAGTTTATTGTTTTTTGGGGATTTTTAACTAATTTATTGTTGCAGTTTGACACCCATGATTAGGGATAAGTTGGCACAAATGCAAAACACGTCCCCTAATCTCGCAAAGTGCAAATTACTTTTATACCTCGACTATTTAATAAAATTTGTCACAAAACTGGCGAAAAACATAACGAAACGTTGTGTGATTTGCCCCTCAACTGTGGCAAATTCTCACATTTTAAATAACTTCACCGTGTCGTCAAATAGCGGACGGTGAGTGTCTTTGGTGTAATTTTTGGGGTCTGAAAAAAAGTTTCAGGACACGTCCCTTGTCAATGAGGGATAAGACAGTGTGTTATATTCTTGTAATCGCAATGATTGCGTTTGATTACGAAGTCGATTTCGAGCAATTGGCCAAAATTGTCAAAATCGGGGTGAAAAAACTGCTCGAAATGGGGCGAATTTTGGCCTTTAGCTCTGATAGCAAAAAGAAGAATTCGATGACACTGAAACTCCCCCTCCCGGCTTCTGTGACATCATCATCGCCCCAAAAACGCAAAAGAAAATAAAAAACTGAGTAATAAATTAGTTTTATTAGATTACAAAGTCAGCTTTGGTGTAATAATAAGAGCGAAAATGGCACAAAGTGGGTGAGAGTCAGCGTAGGGGAGGGTCGTCGTCCTCTTGCCCTATCATAAACTCGTCGTAGTTGTTGTTTCTTTGGTGGATTTTCCTCTGGAGCCACGCTACCAACTTGTACTTCCTGGTGGCGTAAATGGCGAATATCACAAACAGGATCAG